AAGGTTATAAATGGGTAATACATATTAACCATAGCACCAACTGATAGCAAAGGTTATAAATGGGTAATACATATTAACCATAGCACCAACTGATAGCAAAGGTTATAAATGGGTAATACATATTAATCATAGCACCAACTGATAGCAAAGGTTATAAATGGGTAATAGATATTAACCATAGCATCAACTGATAGAAAAGGTTATAAATGGGTAATATTTTCATTATTTAAAAAAACTACAAAAATGCTACAATTCAGTAATTTTATATATAAAAAAAGTATTTCTGACATTTTTCATCATATAGTATATTGATTGATCTCTGGATATTATAGAGAAAAGTGTAAGTATGAAATGCAATGGTAACTAGAAGCTAGTATTTAATTCATCATTAATCATAAATACTTTAACATAAGACAACAATTCACATATTTAATTTAAAAACTTCTTTTGTTGTTCTAAAGTATTGGAATAGTTTCACGGATTATCTTTAATTTTGTTGAATGGTACAGGGCAGAAAACATCAAAATAGCCACTTGCATATTTAATAAGATACCAATGAGTAAAAGGGAAAACATAAATACACTTATTAAAGTCACATCAAAAGAAATACTATACTTTGTTCTACAACTATGAGATCTTTATCTACACCTTGCTATAGTTCTGATGCTATCTATTTCAAAGTACACTCAAGTAACGAACACCTTATAAAATCTGCTTGATAAATTAATTCTACAAGAATTGTTTGAATTTTTAAAACTTTGATTTGTAAGTAAAATGTATATCAGTCTCAAATACTGAGACATGAAATTTTATTAGAAGTACTTATTTACTTTGAATAGCATATTTTTACAGATGTGTATGCACATATGGTCTGTGAAGACATGTTAAAAATAAATATCTCAATATACTCAAAGTAAATATGTACTTACAGTAATGTTTCATGATTCAATATTCAAGAAAGATATATATTTCACTTAAAAATCAAAGTCTTGAACTTACTCTGAATAGTATATTGAAATATTTATTTCTACAGATGCAAGCTTACACATATGGTCTGTTACTTTTACTGAGTAAAAAAACTCAGTAAACTATTTAAACCTTGTCCCATTATGAAATCTAAGATGACAAGTTGCCAATCAACAAGTTGAATACTTACAGCTCCTATGGAAACCAATTTATCAAAATGGTGAATATAAACATGAACAAACACTCGAAATAATCGGGTCAGAATCTTTTTACATGTCGGGATGAAGTTCTTTGGGAAAGGAACATCTGAAATTAAATACCAATAACACTGATCCAATAAAATAAGTTTCAAATTTAAGAAAATATATATATACAAGACAACTGAATTATGACACAGTTGTATATGGCAGATTTTATGCTGTTTTGGAAAAATGGAAAGATATAATACAGCAAACCAAATATGCCATTTTATAAAAAATAAATAAAAAACTTCCACCACACCTTCCTGTAAAGGACACATCTATTATACTAAAGCTTACCACTATACTTCACATTTTTTCTTATTTTATTAACTCTATAGATACGGAGAACTCAAAGTGCACATGTCACGACCTTTCTGCAGAGTAACATTCAACATTTAATCAAGCAACTTTATTATCAATGCATACCAATAAACTTGGCATCAAACATTGTTTATAATTTATATTTTTATATTATATATGTTTTATTTTCTAAATTTCAAAAGTAAATATTTAAAACAATTCTTAATCTTCATTTCTGTTTTACGTAACACACCTGCATTCTAAATTCTTCATTACAGATTTTTACATTTTCCTTAATATGGCTCTCGCTGTTCAACCAATCAGAAACTATATACATGCTTACAAGTTAAAATATAAAATGTGAACCTCTCATATTCTCAATATGCTGAGATATCAATAAATTTGTAAAATCCAGCAGAGAAGCCCTTCCCATCTTATTATAGCTTTCAAGGCAGTTATCTAAACCATGTTTTCTTTTTTTAGATGGATATGTTTATAACCAACAGAAGGTGTATTTCTTCATCTATAAAAACTTTATCATTTCGTTTTAGCAGACACATAGGTGTGGGCTTTAGATTATTTGCCTAAGACAACTGTTGTTCAATCCTGAGCAGCTCACAGATTTTTTTTTAACCTACTTGTAGCTTAGTTAGAAAGCAAAAATAATTATAATGGTTTTGGGTCATTCTTTTCCAGTGCCTGATATATTGTTTGTGTTCTAAAATGCATATCTAAAAGCAACATGAGTTATTTTTGGAAAATCAACACAGTGAGAAAAAAAGTTGGGTTACTGAAGCACAGCACTGTGTGCAAATGGCCTCAACACTAAAGTAAGAGCAAAATTTCTTACTTTTTATTTATTGTTATCTATTTTCCAATAAATGTAAATAAGATGTAAAAGTTAAAAACTTCCTAAAACAAGATAAATAAAATTAAATTCGATGAGGAAGCTAGAAAATCTCTTATGGTCAGCCAGTGGCTGTAACCTGATTGGTTGTTTACCTTAAGTTATAGCAGAAACATTCTACTATGATTTATTGCATTTCATGTAGAGAAAGAGGATCCAAAGTACAGTAATAAAACCATAAAAGTAAAATATAGCAGGACTGAAAATGTTAAAAACTGAGGCTGTTAGAATAAAGAACTTTAATTGTCTGTTAAAATCTACAGTCATTCTAGAAAAAAAAAAGTATTATTGATTTTATTTTGCATTTTTTTGACTTTCTATTTCAATGTAGACTGATGATTTATATACAGTTAAGTGGTATTGTAGAAATATAATAAATTAAAAATTTATATGTATCAAAAAAAATTTGGTTATTCATTTAGGAGGTTCTAGAGCCTATGCAAATCAAATATGAAAATTGTAAAACGAAAATAAGTAATTTTATTCTTAACATTAAAATAACCTCTCAGTCAGATGTATTCAGTAAATGCTTTGTATATTCACAGACAAATCTTTAGTAAAAGCACTTTATTAAAAAATCAGATTTTTTGTTACAACAGATTTGTATTGTTTACTAAAATCTTGACAAATTTCATTTACAGTTATACTATCTATAGTTATAGAGTTACAGGTCGATACAAGGTCAGTCACTTAGACTGAGCCATTATAAAGATGGTTAAAATGTCCACTGAAATTACACTCATGAAAATATTGCTTAGGTTGAAAAGGAATTTGCTATCATAAAAAAAAAATAACAGCTAATGTATACTCACCAACTTTAACTGGAAAAATATCTTCATTATTGATCTGTGCTTCCACCCAGTCCATTAAAAGAGAAACATATTTTGAAGCAGGAAGTTGTGTGGGTTTTTTGTATTTCACACCATCTGCCCAAAGGTATTCAAACCTATATTCAAATTATTGTCCAAAAATATAGATCACATGTATTAAGAGGAGCCTAGTTTATAAGATCAATACACATTCTAGTTTTGCAACTGTATAATTAGATGTAATTTATCTACCTAGGATATATATATCATAAGTAACAAAGGCATAAAATATAAATAGACATTAAACATTTTACAACAGTTTCTTTCAGTACAAAGTCTGCACATTTATTATATTATAGTTCTAGAATTCCAGTAGATCATAAAATCTGTTCTATCATACGTTTTTTTTAATACAACTGTCTAACTTCAAACCTGTTTCGTTTAGATTGCACCCAGAGCTAACATATTGAGAGTTAATTGCACTTTATAAGAAGTTCCAATGCTGTATGCAGCATTACTTTCTCCATCTTTGATCATACTCAGTTTGACGACCATGATTAAGCAACAATGCCCAATACTGCAATTTCCATTGCAAAAAGTTTCAGCAAAGGACAGCAAGGTCAATCTTAAATCACAGATCTTGACACTTTCCACAGACCTTGATGTTAACTTTCTAGACCACATTTAAACAGAAAAAAATGCAAAAGTTTTTTGGAACTGCATATGTAGAGATATGTAGTAAAATTTCAGTTTTTTTCTACCATCTTTCTCATGAAAACAACTGTTAATTTACAAGTGACATTGAAAACTAGTGAACTTTTGGTTTGTGAGTCTTCATCACCTTCACGTTCTCTTGTTAGTAATACTAGAAAATATGCCCAGCTTCATTACAATGTCTTTTCACATTAAAAGGAACCTCTTTCATAATTGTAGCATTTTTTGTGCATGAAGTCATTACTATGAAATGGTGAAGAGGGAAATAATGGAGCCCGCTGCTGTCTTAAAGGCTCTGTTATACGAGTTGTTCTACTTCAACAGAGAACAGTGAAAGCTCCTTTTATAAATTATACCCTTTAGCTCTACATTATTCAACAATCTTGACATATGAATATCCTTCATCAGCAAGATCTGTAAAAAAAATTTTCAACCCCATAAGAATTATGGGTTATTACATTGTCAAACAGTCATGAATTTGCTATAATGTAAACATAAGTGTTAAACACGTTGCCTGTGAAGCCAAAGCTCACAAGTGTAGCAAACTTGCCATTATATTAGAACATGCACTGTTTTTATACAGTGAAGTTCACCCTCTGTACAAGATATCTTCTATATTAAGCACTGTTTCAAACTAACAACATCATAATGTCATCCAAAGGTTAACATTTTCCTTATCTGAAGATGTATTTTCAATAGATACTCACTTCCTACCACAGAATAACTTGATTCCTTCATGCATCTGTCTATGAGGTTTGTGTGTTACTAGCTTTTAGCTACCTCACACCTAAAAAACATGTTTAACGTGAACTGCATTACTGAATGATGTCATCATCATGCAATTATAGCTATCCACAGTAGCTTACCTTAAGTACTTGTGCTCAAATTAACTTCATTTGTAGATGAGGCAGGAAGAAAGGGCACCAGAACTTAGAAGGAGAGGTGAGAGGAGGTGAGTATTATCAGAAATACATTTTCAGGTAAGGAAAATGTTAACTTTTGAGACGATACCTCACCTCTTCACACAAAATAGCTAGAATACCACATGAAATGGTGGAGTGGCTGGTGCAAACATTAGACCTAGATGAGCTCCCTTCAGAAATTGCCCAAAGGGAAAGTCCAGGGAGTGTGACACCCAATAATAGGGGCTCCATTCGAGCACACCCATGTGAGACTGTATCTCGTCTTGACCAGAGTATACTTTTCGTCCAGAAGGAAAGAAAAAAGAGCCCCAAGAGTCATAGGAATGGGCAAGATTTTTGAATTTCCAGCCAAGCATTAGCACACAAGTGGTCAGCAAGCCAAGAAGTATAGTGTGGTTAGGGCATGACCAGGCCATACAGTGTGTGTGTGTGTCTGACCAGAAGAAATGCCCAGTTCCCCATTGGATGCTTGCTAGAAAAGTCTGTTACTAGAGACTATGCAATAAGTGACCATGAAACCCTATTTTCAAAAGGTGTCAAGCATGAGTAAAAGTAGACAGTCACTTCCCTGGTACCAGCTTTTTCTATGATAGTCCATGGAAAGTACAGTTTGTTTCAGGCAAATGAGTAATTTCAATACCACAAACACCCCATCTCAACAGTGGGCATTGTTAGAGCTAGGGCAGATGGGTTGAGCACTTTCTGTTATCACTGGCCCAATGCAAGTTTGGGGAAATAAGTATACTCTGGGAGGCACCATCAGACACCTGACAGGATCCTATAAAAGGGAAGAAACTGTACTTACCCTTCTCAAGATGGTGTGTTGATTGAAGAACAGTGACTGGAGGGAGTCAAAATCCTGCTGAAGATGAAACAGCCAAAGGATGACAATAATGAGAGATAAACACATGCACACTTGTTCACTTACCCAACTGGAGGAGTTAATGGACTTACTCTGTAAGGGTAGATGGTAAGAGGTCCCTGGATGAAGAGGGGTCCTAAGGTAGAAACAAACGATGAGGGGAACCCAAAAAACTAAATGTATGTGCCAAGTAACACTGAACAGACTGAACCAGACACAGAAAATGATCCAGGTCTGAATGAGCATAGAGGTTAAAAATCTAATGGAGTGAGATGAGAGAAAGAATGATCACCTTTTCAAGTAGCTGAAATCTAAGAAAGAAAGACTAGGTTAGGATAGAGAAATAAGTATGGAGAAAGATAGTGCAGGAAGCATCAATGGCATATGATTCCAGACAACTTCGACCACTGGCAGGAAGAAGAAGGAAATATTTTTTCAGAGAAGATGCTATAAGGAACATAAAGCCATGGCTTGAATGGAGTACATGTAAGAGCATGTAAAACCACATTAAAGTCCCAGTTAGGCATGGGAATAGGATGAGGGGGTCAGTGAGGTAGAAAGGATATGAACAAAGCGGTATTGGGAAAGTGAGACATAGTTGGTAAAGCTGCTCAATAATCAGCAATGGTGGAAACCAACAACCACATGAAAAAAGGCCAAAAGGTGGACCATGGTAGAATAGCCTGGAGGAAAGGAGTAGCAGTTGGACCATCATTGAAAAACCTGCCACTTCCATTGATATAAAGGCAGAATTGAAGGACAACAGGAATGGGATAAGAAAAAGGTTACACAGTCAGAGAGTCACATGAAAAGCCATGAGATGAACCTGATGGGAATGAACCTAAAACAGTATATCCAGTATACTGAAGCAAAGAGTCCTGGAACAGGTACCCCCTGATGATTATAAGAAATGATCTTGGAATTGTCAGAGTGGATCCTGACCAACCAATTCATGAAAAGAGGAAGGAAATGGGGACATGCCCGACGGATGGTGAGAAGTTCAATTACATTGATATGGAAGGACTGCTTCTCAGAAACCAACACACCCAAGTCATGTCATTCACATATGCATCCCAACTTGACACAGAGAAGCATCTGTGAAGAGGTGGAGATCTGGTTGGGGTGCAGCAAGGGGATACTCACTGTGGTATTGGCATGATCAGATGTACCAAATATTGGATTGGCATGAGAAAAATCTAGGAAAGCTTGACAAGCCAGTCCAGCCAGGCAGCTTCCAAAGGAAAGATGCAGATGTGAAAGAAGACTCCTCCCCAAAAGGGATAAAGAGATGTCCATTGTTTATGTAATAATGGAACTTCAGCCCCAATCTGTGAATATGGGAGGCAAATGTCCCCATGACTTAATTAAATAAAGAAGGAGCAGATGCAATACCAAAAGGAAGAGCATGGAACTGGAAGACTTGACCCCAATGGATGAAACAAATATAACATCTGGAGGATGGGGTAATTGTAGGAATGTGTGAAAGGGTGTCCGAAACGTCGACCCTAGTCATCCACAGACTTGGTGAAAAGAACTACCTCTGAAGACAAAATAAATCTTCTGTACAGACTGAGGGATGTCAATAAATGATTTGAGAAACAATGGGTCAATAACTGGACAGCAGTCCTGGTCTTATTGGGGACCACAAAGAGACAAGAGTAATCTGGAGTAGAGGTAAATACTTTTTGATGGCATTCTTAGCCAAGAGATCTGAGACTGCATCCTCAAGATGCTAAAGATAAATGGAATTGAATGGAGGAGGAAAAAAAACCAAAAGGGGGGAAAGGGGAGGAGGAGAAGAGAAGGGGAGACATAGGCCAAAAGCTAGTAAAAAGAGACAGATGAGCTTTAAGAAGGCCAAACTCATTAGGTTAGTCACAGCGAATATGAGCAATGACCAAGACTTCAGAAAGCTAGGAGAGCATTCCATCCCAACAGCAAAGGGACAAAATAAGGAGGGATAGAGCAGAAAAAGCATTACGGGCCAATGTGGTGAAAAAAAGGGAACGAACCTCTCTGGAAAACCCCTCTGGAGAGTGACGAACTGCCTAAGAAGTAAGATGAAGTGAGAAGAGGGGATGCAGGAGGGTAGTAAAAAAAAAAAGAGATGAAAGTATGAAAACTTGGCACTAGAAAGTGAAATAGAAGTTAAGGGGTTTGCTCCCCAAGTAGGTAAAAAGAGATTTCATAGACTTGAAATTGAGAAAATAAAACTAAGAATGGCTGGAAGTAGGCAAGAAGGATGAGCCATGTTAGTACAGTCGCATAGTCGTTCAAGAAACGAGTCTGCATGGGCCTTAATATTAAGCAAAGGAGAGAAAACAAAGTAAAATTGAATTTCGTTTTCATGAAGTAAAACACAAGAAGAATTGAAAGACACAGGGAAAGAGAAAGAAAGAACACACCTGCAAAATAAGGTCAAGGAAGAGATTCCAAGGGTGAGGATTTACCTCCACAGATAAAGCTGTGCCTATAGTGAACTCTGGTCAAAGAAATAGCTGGTAAAAATCATCATCTTCCTGGTCATGTTCGAGCTGGAGAGAAAAAAACATCAGCTGAATGGAAGGAGGAGGCCCAGTGTGCATGAAGGAGCTCACAACACATTGAACAATGGCTGTAACGTCCTCCACAAACAACAAGCCTCCAGTAATCAGAGTAGACCCAGGTCCCATGTTAGGAACATCATCACTATCACAGTACAAGTGGAAATTACCATCACTTGAGAAGTCCTAATGGCAGGTAACTATCAAATGTTTTGTTTTTCTTTTCTTTTTTCTAAGTGGAGTTAAAGAAACCACGTTGGTTATGTAAGACAGCTTACATAATACACTAAGACAGGTAAATGTGAACAAAAATTAACTCAGTTGTGACTTTTACAAATCTCAAATACCTGATCAACAATTTTGGAACATAAATATTCTAGACAATGCCAAGGAAAAGAAAAACAAAATGAAGTTACTTTGAGTGCAGCTGCACAAGGAAGTTGTGCTGCCCACCTTTAAGTGGAGGGCTATTGTTACATGATGATGACATCATTAACTAGCATAGTTCACATTAAACACAATTTTGGGTTGGAGGTAGCTCATGGCTAATGACATGCAAAATTCATAGACAGATGTGCAAAGAAATCAAGCTATTATGTATGAGGTGGGCGGTAGCTTAGGGATAATGGCATGCAAAATTCATAGACAGATGTGCAAAGAAATCAAGGTATTATGTATGAGGTGGGAGGTAGCTTAGGGATAATGCCATGTAAAATTCATACACAGATGTGCAAAGAAATCAAGCTATTATGTGTTAAAAGGTGAGGTATCACCTTAGAAACTGCTTGGTGATAGATACACAGGGAAAGTTTCATCACCACAGTTTTGAGGAAAGTACATTTAACTGAAAAAAGTTACTGCACAAAAAGCTCATTAATTGTTGTTACATGAGTGACTTCAGCATTATGTGTATATGCTGATCAATATTAAATGATTTCTGAAGTTTATGTTGTGTCACAGCTAGTTTGTGAATGGACTGTGTTGAAACAAAATATCAAATGAAAATGTTTTCAACTACAAAAAGACAAAACACAGTTGAGGAAGCACTCAGGCCTAATTCTAATAGGACTGAGTTATTTCACCATTTCAAATGAAAGTGGAACAAAATAAGGGTTTTAAAAAGAACAAATTAGCTACAGTACATTTTATGAAAAGTGAAAACAAAAACAATTATTTAAATAACCAATCTGCCTGAACTTTTTTCTTAGGTATTTCCAAGTTTAACAAATATGGCAAAAAGTAAATATCCAAAGATAAATAACAAATATGAATTATGGCTTCTTTGATATGAATAAACTATTTTTCTAATTACTTATTTAAATAACTGTAATAATATTCATCTTTTGTGAATATATTATTTTGAAAGTTTTGTAGTACAGAAAGTCCCATTTGAATGGCTGGTTAACGGTATAAATACTAAGTTGAGAATTGTGTTCAGCTGAAGATAGAACTTGGTGCAGATATTTTTCCTTAAAAACTTGTTTTCATAACCAGTTGTAAATCAGTCGAATATTCAATTAAGGATATGTTTAAAGAAATTAAGAAATATATGTTCTTTAAACATACCTAAAATTCAGATAAATACTTACAAAAAGCAGCTTGTTCATATCAAAAAAGCCATTTAATAATGAAAAAAAAATATTCAACCATGGTAGCATTTTACATTAATTAAATAAAGAAAAGTCCAACAGTAATAAAGTCTGTAAAGTTTGTATAAGATACAGAAAACTGATACTTATCAACTGCTTTGGCTGAATGGGTGAGAAAGGAAAAATATAAATATTAGTTATAAATGTGTTGTTATAATACTTAAGTGTTTTTGATAAACAGCCCTCGAAACTGGCAAAGACAAAGCAAAACAAATGTCTTTGTAAGATTAAAAAAACCTTGAATCTTTTCCTTTAATATATAATGTATAATCTCTCTCTCTCTCTCTTGATATATATTTCAAATACTCATGTCAGTGTGTTTATATGATTTTGCCACATGCATAGAATTTGCTTGAGGAAAGGCCATATAAACAGTATGTAGGTATTATCAAAAATCTAGTTTCTACTTCTAAGTTCTAATGTGTATTTCAATAGTTTGGGCAGGTGAATGAAAATAAAGATAATTCCCTATTATTAGTTTAACTCTAAATTAGTTTAATTAATAAAATGTTTGTTTTAATCAAAATGTCATTGAGAACTGGCACATAATATCAAACCACATGTAGTTTTGTTCTGAAGGGAACAGTGACACTTATTACTTTAAACTTACAATAGTTTGACAAATTTTAGATACCTCTTTATACATAGGAAACAGAAAACATAAGTTCAGTTTTATGTTATTTGAAGAATAAAGAATATTAATGTTTGAAAACAAAGTCTTACTATACGTTGCTAGCACCAAACAACATGATTATCATATTTTATGAGTATTGTTTGATTTGGACTTTCTGTGAAAGTTGAATATCGTATGGGCAGAACATGACAAAGTTTATGTCTCAGGTTAAACTTGGAAAGCTGCTTACAATTTTATAATTTCACCAAAAATACTTAATTAATATAAAAGCCTAATCTACGTTTTTCATTTTTTACCTACGTGAAGACACTTGCCTTGTACCTAGCTTGAGTGTTAAGTGCATCCTTAAGGGAAAGAATTTCTTCAGAAGAGATAACGGAATTTGCCGTGATGTTGCACTTACAGCAGCATTTTTTTTGCCATTGACTTGATGTTCTAATTTAAAGAACTGATAAGCTAAAACATTTCTAATTAGTCATGCTAAGTATGTAGTATGAAGTGTAAACATAATTTTCTAAAAGTTTTGATAAATTGAAAATAATAAAAATTGTAACAAAAACATTGTCTTAAACACTTAGCAGACATACTTTTTCAATAAATACATGCACAAATGATTACAATAAAAGGTAAAGATATGGAGGGTATAAATGGCTGATTAGATCATTTTTAAACAAAGAAAATCTAAGTCTTTCAAGTAATATTTATTGCTAGAGAGAAACTCAAACACAGTAAAACACTTACTTGGGTCCCCCAGACATTGTGGGGCAGGTTTCTTCCAAGCAAAAGTCTGATACAGTACCATATATTAGATTTATTCTATTAAAGAAGTCCACAACTAAAATACAAAAAGTACAAATTAAAAAGTTTATTTTTCTTAAACAGCGTATGCCAAAATTGTTTCTGATTTGAATTATTAAGTGGTTATTGTTGTGAACTATTCTAAAAAAATAACTACATAATTATTAAAATAAAGAAAAAAAAGTAGCACAAAAGCTATAAAAAATGTAAAAAAGTTCAGTTTAACAAGATTACAGCAAAATATAGGATTTAAATGTGTGCAATATATTTTCCAGATCAAAAGAGTTGGAAGCTCAGCAACTTTCAAGGACTAAAAATTAAAACATACTAATCAAAGTTTATAAAAGTTAAAGAAATACAAAAGTATGAAGCATGAACAGGTTTGGACAATGTTAATGCAGGTTCTTTTTTCACCATAAAAAGGATACAAAATAACTTTTTATGTAAATATAGTGGAAATTAAACAATCGAAAGTAGTCTGTAAAGAGAAAAAGCTAAACATAAAAAAACAGTAACCAAAGTCAAATTCAATGTTTCATTTACCATTTATTGAGACAAGGTAAAATTAATAATGGCTTTTCATATATAATAATGTTAATAACAGACACCACACATGATACAAGCTTATATATTGTAAATCAAGATGCTGAATACTTAAGAGTACAAGTCCAAACAGCTGAAGACAACATATAATTTGTACAATTAAATTATACATATTTTAAGCCATCACTAAATAATGTTATGAAAGTTATGATTTTCCTGCACTGAAAATATATTTCTGGTAGATATCTCCTCTCACACATAGCTTTTCTCAACTTATTTTGCTCTTTATATGAGCAAATTTTTGCATACTCCCACCAACCCTCACATGTATTCATGTGAGACATCTATATGCTATCACACAAATGATCATGCAGCAACCCTCCACCAATAGAAGTGTGATGCAACGCTTATCGTCACTAGCACCTTCTCTTCCATGCAACCCGTAATCACTTTTCAATTGGTAGTACATACAAAACCTACACCAAAAGTGAGGAGGTTAGAAGGGAAATGTGACAAGAGGTAAGTAACTATCAGAAATAAATTTTCAGTGTAGGAAAATGTTAACTTCCAATATAATATCTTACCTCCAATGAGAGTCCAATGAGAAGATGATCCCCTTAAGAAAGTGCCAAGAAAGACCATGGGTTGAGCAAGTAAATGGAAGACAACATCTCTGTGGGAGACTGCACCACTTCTGAGCCAGGTATACTCTTTGCCCACATGAAAATTGTGTTGCAATAAGGGCAGTAACAATGGAGGGACTTCGCCAGCTTAAACATATGTGCACATCCAACCCAACCATCACCATATTCACCAAGAATCGACATCCAGGGGATGATAAGAATGTGGATAGCAAAATGGAAGTGCATCTCCAGTCTATCACTAGGTGGCACAGGGAATGTATCATCCAGTCTGGTAGGAGGAGGGTACCTGGCCCCCACACGTGTGAAATTAAGGGACCCCCAGGTGTAGAGTGGCACAAACCATGCAACGAGGAGGGAGGCAAACATACCTGTAAAAAAGAGTGCTCTGACCTCAAAACGGTCCCAACAACAGTAGCAAGGAAAGAGTGGACAAAGAGAGGCATGCCATGGTGGAAAACAGAAAGACTAAGGCTAGAAAAGTAACCAACGTATTGGAGTGTGAACCCTCAGAGACATAAGGGAGTAGAAATGTTAAGTATAAGGAGAGAAACTCAGAACAGTGATAAGCCAAAGCATGGTCTACCAGAGTACGTGGGAGTCACAGCATACTAACCCCAAATATCATTGGTACTTAAAACAATTTGCATGAACCCCAATATCCAGTGAGAGAGTTGAAAAACTAGCTACTAGCCCATTGACGCAACAGTGAGAAGGGCAGGTGAAGAATCAAAGGGTAAAATACAGCATACGTGAATTATTAAGTAAACAAAGGGAAGAGGAGGCCTGGGCACCTCACCTCTCCCAAAACAAAACATGACAATGAGGCATAGGCAAGGAGGAGGGAACAGGTTGTCAATATACACATTGTCATGTTCAGGCAAACCCTCACATTGTAACAAAGGACAATCATATGGTGACTCATAAGAACAGAGCCATTACATCCTCAGCAGAAAAAGTACTTGAAGCTCCATATGCAAGTCAAAAATCTAAAAACATCATTTGAAAAACATGGAAAATAATGTGTTTAGAATAAAGCTTAAAACATGAGTGAAAAAATTATTGAATTAGTAAATGAAAAAATGAAGACAATTAATCTAAACCAATTCAAAAACTAAACAATCAGTAGGAAAGCACAAGTAAAAATGCATCCTATCAGTAGGACTACCAATCGAGAAGTGATTACGGGCTGCACAGAAGAGAGGGTGCTAATGATGATAGGAGTTGTGTTGCACTAATATTGGTGGAGAGTTGCTGCACGATCATTTGCATGAGAGCATGTAGTTGCAAGTGAAAATTTGTGCATATAGACAGCAGTATATATCAAGAAAAGCTATTTGTGATAAAAGGTAAGATATCATATTGTAAGTTAACATTCAGTAAAATAAACAAACTATATATGCTACATGGTTATAAATCAATTAAACTGCATAATGTATTAGTAATGTAAGTAATTAAATAAACTTTTTTTTAAGTATCTTTATAACTAATGCTACAGAGAAACATTTGCATATGTAGTTTCAATATCTCTTAATAAAATCAACACAGATAAAATCAAGCAACCTTTTCTTAATATTATTGATATTTACAAAACATTGCAATATATTTTGGTTTCTCTAGTAATTTTTGTCAATTTTAAGTTTCACCATCAACCAACAGGTTCTGTCTGTGATATAATTCAGTTTTGGAACAAAAAAAAACAAATTACCATGAACAGCTAGCCAATCATTAAAATTTTCCCCTGGTGGCAGTTTCACAACATCTCTGAGATTTATTCCAGAGTTTAATGAGGCCTCGGCATGTTTGTGGAGTGAGTGTCTGAGAGTTCCTGGGTCAAACTTCTTTTTTGGTCGAAATGTCTGAAAATGTTATTAAAATAATAAATCTGTGTGTGTTATACATAATTCAGTTAATAAAAAGTCAATACTTTTACATAAACACATTTAAAACACCAAGAAATTATTCAAATGTAGCATATCCTAAACCTGATTAATCTTTATTTTTTTTCAAGATCAATTTTAAACTTGAGTTTTATTACAAAAGACCTTAATAAACTCAGTTATGTTTGAATATGATAAATTATGCAACTGAGTAAAAGCATTTATATTAAAAACAATATTGTGGCAATTCTTTTCATCTACCTGAATGTCTACATTAGCATCAACTACCCAAGTTTTGTATTAAAGAGACTATTAGATTCCTGTGGATTGTTTATTTAAACATTATAAAAAAGACAATTCACATACTTTAACACGAGACTAGACAAATGACATTCATGTGCTGAATGGTAGAAATAATAATTTAGAAAGCTACATTAGTTTACACATCACTAACCAACTTATTAGTATAACACACCTGTTACATCATACATGGAATTATAACTGCCACTCAGACAGCTACCCAACTCCTGTTACTTTCTCTCTATATCTAACTCCTTAGTCAAATATTTATTCTATTTATACTTGTAGCTCAGCTTATGTGGGTGTCACATGTTTACAATACTTTAGAAATCTCTTCAAAGAGAACAAATCAACAACAAACACATTGTACATGGCTTTGGAAGAGAAGGTTCCTCATAATGTAAATACTAAGTAATAATTGACATACATCTGATGTATTATACATTTCATGAGTTCAAGCATGATAAAATGACAAGTTATATGTAGTGTAACGTATGACTGTTTGCTCATATCTGAAACAAACAAATAACAGGGTGATTCATTTATGAAATGAGTTGCTGTCATTAGTATTGGAGGCCAACACTTTTACAAGTTTAAGAGGGAAATCAACGATTTTCTGAAAAATAATGTGTGGGTTAAAATTTTTACTTTTTTTCAAGGATGGGTGTAAAAGGACCAAATAATCCCTTGAAGAACCATAAGTTATGTTACTGTAACAGACTCACAAAATCAGTACAATACTTTAGTTCCCAGCAATATTCATGAACATAATGTGATGGTTATTTACAGTTGAGTTTGAAAGTATTTAGATATCAAAATACTGTATGAAGAACTAAATAAATAAATAAACACTACAAAGTGAATATACTCCAACATGTTATTTTAATCATGTTTTCAATCGTCATGTATTATAACCTTATGCTAATTTTCTCAGTGCTATTATTGAGTCACCTGGCTGAGTATTAGTACTTTTTACAGGATTGTGAGATACTGATATTGCACCAATTCATTACGTTTATATTTGTTAGGGTTACTGGCATCTCACAGCAAACATATTGAAAAACTGCTCGACTCTTCATCTGTTTTAATCAAACCCTTCTCTATATAGATGTTTGTATTAAAAAACTGCTGAATAACAGGATAAAAAATAATGGCTGGAGACGGCTTGAATGGGTAATGAAGAAAAACTTTAATATAAGTTTAACATAACAGCAAATGTACAACGTTTCGACAAGGTTTTGGTACATTTATAGGGCTTTTTTCTTTAGTTGTATGGTAGGCAAAAACCAGAATTAAAAAAGCCTTTTTTAAG